GTATCGACCCTGCTAGCCAAGGATTTATTCGAATAAATAAACCAGTTAAACATAGACACATAACGTAGATCACATAAGTACTGATTTAAGCAAAGTTCAGTAATCATGTTCACTACAAAATGCTCAATTTTTATCACTCCCAGAATAACAACGAGCTACACTGCTTGAGCAGCACCAAAATTATCCACTAACTACGGAATTTAACACCAGCGATGATAAGCAAGTTAATTGATAAAAATCCTTAGAGTAATCTTCCCGTTCCACCACTGAAAGTAAGTATTTTTTAAAAAACATTACACGCAATCACAACAGAGAACCGATCGGGTAGAATTGCAAGGAGTCGCAAGGTGCCTATGAGAGCAGCACATTAGAACGTTTGGCTGCCTCTGTACAATCAAGCAATACAAGCGTTAGGCTAGCAGCGGTTATAATCCAAATATTTAACTGAGATCAAAAGAACTTTTTGATCTCTTTCGATCAATTCAGGAAGCTTAAACTTCAACGGACAATCTACTTGAGCATCAAGTTCTGCCAGATCTATTATAAGACCAACCTTCAGGAGCGGTCATCGAAGTACCAGTAGCAGGAGAACCCGTGAAGATAAGTTACGATGCCCCACCACAAAATATGACTGTGTATGGAATACTTTCAGGTATATTTCGATTACCGAACAGAGCGTAGTAATTATCAGTTGACCGATAAAGCCTACCTCGAAATCACGTTCTCCGAAGCCCTGTCGCTATTAGTTAGTATCGACCAATTACACGATATCGGGCGTCGATACGCCCCCTTGTCTGGCACCGACGAAGCGGTAGCGACCGAAAGCCGGTTCAGCATTATGTTTTGAATTATGGCGGCATGCACGTCGCATTTGGTAAGGGTAAAAGGGCCCCACGTTCATACAGTTGTTTAGCCGTATCTCTGTCTAAGCCAGTTAATGACGTCGAACGTTTCCAAAAACTGATCGGAAAGGTCCAAAAACGGAAGGATCGTTATCAGCTGGACCGACGTGCCGAGGCGATTGGTGCAAGGCCTTGTTTGTGATGGTTTCCCATGCCAAATAGTTATCTTAAAGCTGTTTTCCATCGTACAGTTGGCTAATAACCTCGGCACCGTCGATTATCTTCTCAAAACAGAGCAGTATAACGCAATACCGCAACATTTTAATGATACTATAATAAGATCATGTTCTTCATGAGGAATGATCACTCTCAAGAGCCAAGCATCATTGAACGTACATGCTACTTGGATCGAATGTGGATTCGAACCTGATTAGACGAATGATTCATTTTCGCTTACATAAAAACGTTAGCTGTTTCTGTTGACATCCCTCGAGCGTGATGACCTGATAATCAATTTCACTGAAAACGGCCGCCCTCTACTTTGGTTTCGGTAGCAAGCTTTAGAAAAAGATAAGGTACGCTAATTTTAGACGTGAAAGAGAATTTCGACCGTCACCATAAGCAACACTGCACGACATCGTCAACAGACACGTACCATCTCAGGGACTTTACGTACCCTGATGTCAGGGTGTGTAGCTTCGGCACAGTAGACGAAGCTAATCGCTAAATCGACAAGGCAATCACATGCCTTGGTTCGATAGATATGCAGCTAGGAATATGGAGCCGGTAATTTTGAGGAACCTTAAGGCACGTGGTAGTACGTTGGTCGACACATGTTTAATAGAGGAGACTATTCTAAATTTACTCGGCACCGTTTGGTTCCCAAACGACAAACGATCATCTCCAATTTCGTATCCCTCGTTTAAGGAGCGACTAGTACATGCGTCAAAACAGTTTACTCATGCGGTCCTCACGTATTTGTCGAGTGAGTCTGCCAATGTCGTAGCACCTTACCTTGAAACTGTTTCAACTTTAAATGTATTGCATATTCATTGATAATGGCGAAGTCTTGTCTTACATCGTACAGGGAAATCACGTTTCTGCGTTCGGAGAGACTGATTGCTCTCAGTTCCGTCAGACTCCGGGGATTTACCGAGTGTTTGAGTGTGGCGGTCGACCAAATCTTCTACTGCACGGCCTACCATTGATGCACTAATAAGCAGCCTAGTCGATAAAAAGCCCTCGACTATAATTGAGTGGCGGTGATCGCAGTTGTCGCCTGAAGAATGGCATCATGTGCTAGGTATTCACGATACCACTGACCTTTTCAGGTCACGAGAGGGTTGTCAGCAGTGGAGCTAAGTGCAGATCAATAATGGTGGTCCACACCAGGCTGGTTGGACGAACCAGAGGACGACGGATCGTACGAAAGACTCCAAATCGTCACCCAACAGAACTTTGCGCCACTCGCTATGGAGCTTGAACTGATCGTGGCTCCTGTCATATCAGCAGAAGCACCTTTCGATTCCAACCGTTCAAGCAGGCTCGAAACGGAGCTTCGCATCTTGAGCAAGTTCATATCCATCTGCGTTTGTCATCTCCATCTTTCAATTCCTGACGTCTTAGTTCTACAGAAAAGCAGCTAATTAGGTGTACTTCGTAGGAGTACTTCACGGATGAAATGAGAGGCAATGAGCGACCATCTAGTAAGCCATAGGCTTCACACTATTTACTGACGAAGACGGCCTATGCGTGCCAACGCGAAGCTGTCGAGATGCCCGCAGTTCAGCTACAACGAGACAAACCTCATGGTTTTATCGCGTCTCGCTGAGCCTGCCCCTGAACGTCGTCACCATACTAATGCATATTTTGGTTGCAGCTTCGTCATTATTATCGAGCTTAATAAATGGTCAAAACAACACTATACAGATGCATAGTCTGATAGACAGACACTGCTGCCGATAGAACAAGTCAGAGAGTTAGTTTTATTCGTATCAAATGGCATCTATTTGTGTGATACGAAGACTCGTGAGAACGTAGCTGATGACTTGCCGTAGCACTCAGCAAATCCATCCAGACCTCATATGGGCAGTGTCTACACATGGCTTTACAGAGCTTTTTATCAACATACTTTGGCTACAGTGTGGCGTCTAAGACCAAGCTGACTAAAGTGGGTAGCGACATTCGACCCAAGATTCAACAGTACGCAACGTAGGGTTAAGTAGTTGTTCAACTGGCCCCGTGTCACTTGGCAAAATTGGTTTTGTAGAGAGGTTGATAGCCACGGTCAAAACGGCGCTTTCTAAACATTTTAAACGTTAGCTATGAGGAACTACGAACGATTATTTTCGAGCTCGCTGCCATAGTCACCGACCGACCGACACTGATGTCCCCTACCACCTTCGCCATCTCAACTTATACATGACGACTCAGCCATCAACCCTTCGCCTTGGAGGGCAGCTACATGCATGTCGCACATGCGGAAACTAAATTCTTGGCGTATCCCAGTTAGAGGATATACTGTTCCCGAAATTACTACATTTTAGTTTGCTATCAAATTTATCACAGACGCATTTATTCTGTGGTGTTTCTGTAATTATAGTACGTATAATATACTGTGAATCTTCTTTAACTACCAAATTAGCTATGCTAATTTAAACCTGCCAAGCGCGGCAACATTTCATCCCAAGTGTTTCGAATATAGATGCGAAACTCGTCGTACGCCCCTAAATAGCTCCCCAATTATAAGTTACTTTATCAGCTAATATCATACATATGTGCGAGTAAGTGGCATGCAATTCGAAGAAGTATTTGTAATAATAAATGAACCCATATTAATCATATAAATTAGAGAGGGTAGAGTTCATGCTACCTAGTCGTATATGCTTCGCATCGACTTAACTATCACACACGGTCGCACGGACCACACTAGATGACCACTAGAGCTACGAAATAGTCTGTGCTATTGCTTTTTTTTTTTATCTTCCCGCATATCCTAACATGATTTTTCATCCATTGAATGGAAAGCCGTAACTATTACTAGTGCCGCTATCCGAATATACTTTCGATACTGAGGGAGAGAAATCTCCTAAATGCTATCTATCATAAATCAGTAGATTGAAGGGCCCGGAACTAATTCCCAGTGAAAAACCCTCGCGTGAAAATAGGCATATAAGATGATATAAGCTTAACATTTAATGTTATTATCATTTGCCATGTAGATCGATTCTACAAAATCTACATCGGAACGAAGAGCTCGCTCACTTCTGAAATTTGAGGTGTCTGAAATTCCATGTATATCTTGCGTGTTTTAATCTATCTTTTCCTGGGTACTTGAGATAATTAGCCCTGATCGAAGTTGATGTAATATGAATGCAATGCCACAAGCATGAAGGCCCTTACCAATCTGACAACACCTCCTTCGTCTGGCTAAATTATTGTTTTTTTTTACCATATGAAGGTTTTTTCGATTTTTGTAGCGTTGATTTACAACGTTCTAAATAAGTGACGCCTATGAGTGGTTTATACGCAAATACCCTGCTGCGCTCCGGCATGTTATTACATTCTGAGATGAGCTCGTACTGAAATGAATATATTTTACCACTGCTGTGCACCATTATCGCGCCAAAACGTGTCGACTATACGTGCTTTAGCTACATGGAATGAAATGACAGCCAAAAGCATTAGCGTATGTGCAAGGAAGCTATGCGACACGATCATATGTCACCAGGTTTGAGTGGCAATTTCCTTCTTACTACATCTAGCCTGAAAGGATTTCTATTAATTTGTAACCATGTATCTCCTGAGAGGTTACCTGTGAACTGCCTAAAATATTGAAAAACTTCATCATCCGAACTCTGATCCCACTCCTAGCACTAGATGTCGTATGTTACGTGAATCTGAACACATTTCACATGTTTGTACTCTGGGAACGGTTCTCTACGCGCCTCGCCGATATGTGACTTCTGGACGACTCTATCTTGATATGTTGAAACTTCTTCAGATTGACTGACGTTCTGAAAAGCAGCTGTATGCATGTTATATGCACAGAGTCTAAATGGCGCATTTTAGCCAGAGGATGAACCGTTCTCGAAATAGCTTGATTTTAGTCTACTATCAAATTTATCGTGGACACTTCTGCTCTGTAGTTTTGTTTTTCTTTTTTATACAGTATGATCTGCTTCTTCCCTTTTCAAATATGAAATTCTGCAATTTTAGTGAGTGCAAATTTAGGAGAGCAAATTTAGTACATCATAGCCTTCAGCCAGCTGCTAGAATTCGCTTACTCTACACGAGGTAAAGCAATGAGTAGCGAAGTTCTAGTTGACCCGATACGCGATGCAGTACTACAGTTCTCGACCGCGACAGAAGATCAGCTGGTTACTAATAACGATAGGTAAACGGTGACTAAAAAGCGTGTATTTCTGTTCAAAAGTTGTGTCGATGCTACGTTACATTGACACTAAATTGATTCAACCGCGGTTTATCCTCGCGTGACGAGCAATTCCCCAATCACCATTATCTCTGTTTTTGTGTTGACAGCTCGTATTTACTGACGATTTACTCGTTGCATGTTTACTGTACAGAAAAACGATAGGAGTAAGGAAATATACATAGGAATAATCACAAATCCCTCTATCCCTCATTGAGAAGCGTCCCTAGCACAATGTTTGCCGTCTATATAAACGGCACAAAACAATAACGTCTACGGAGAGCTGCAATACTAGTTAACTCCGAAAGGTCTATTTGTTTGGACCGGGCTGGCACCGCCTTTAGTCGAAATTGGGTTTTCCGTATAGCTAGTTGACGACTTAAAGCCGGAACACAGATTTCAGACTGGTTGGGTCTCGGAAGTACAAACAAATGTTTACAAAAAAAATCTATTAACACCAATTTAATCTTCCCTAACGCAATGCAACTGGTCGTTACCTAAGCAGCTTTGACCCTAAGAGAATAGCTATGTATTTTTAGGATACTATTGTTGTTTATTCGCATCCTTTATATTGTCTCCTACAATTGGTTAGACAAAACATAACGAGTAAATAGCTACTTGACCTTCTTTGATACAAGTGTTTTGCATCATATCTATTATTTTCTTAGTCTAGTCGCCGTCACCACGATCAACATCTGTCGATTGAAAATGTATCACCCGGACAATGTTTCCATCCCTCGCGAAGTAAGGCGTCAACACGTAGCGCGGCCATCATTATGTCGGACGGCTCATACAGACACTGATGGTGACCGCTGTAATATTATCAAGCTGAGTTCTTTCCCTTTCTCGCATGTTTGCTACACTCGTATTACTGCACCGCAGAACGGAGAAATCAATGTAGCCACGCAACGAACTATCCAGCCATGACGCTGAGACCGGTTTCAACGGTCTTATTTTACGGGTTGACAAATCTGCGATAGCGGTGAGTTGGCTGACTTTAGAGATTGTTTGGTCGGAGTCCATATTCGTTCTAGATGGCCGACGGTATTTTTCGTGAGTTGTATGTTAAGGTTTGCAATGCTTGATGATCCTCGACTGAGCTTTCCTTCTGGAACCAGTCAAACGATGCTGTTTGGCGAGGATGGCTTTAGTGAAAACTCGTCTATGCCGGCGCTATTTAGCGGTAGTTTAACGGTTTTTCCTTATTCGTATTGTTTGAAAAGCAAAGACGTCCGGGTGAAGCAAATGAGACTGGCGGCGCCAGAAATATCTGAAAATGCCATGCTGTATGTTTTAGATTTGAATGGACCCTCGATAAATAAACAAAATTTACAACACAATGATTTGCCAATAAGCGAAATATTTATTGCAGTTAGTTAACGCAAGCGTACACACATATTTAAGGAAAAAGTGCTTAAAAGATGTTGTGATTTTGAAAACAAATAGTATCCTTCAGTGGAAAGACGATGACGTAAAACTTGGATTATCATAATCGTATTGCATTTTCCCTACCCTGAAGCTTTTCCTGTCGGTTTTGAAGAAAAAAAAAGACTATTGTTTTTACTGAATGAGTACCGAAATAAAATCCAGGCGAATGTTCTTTTACATTACATGTCGCTTCAACATCCAATAAGTCCATTGGCAATTTTCGCCTACACTAATTGGACCCCAACTAACTGGTTTTGCTGAACAATCAGTTGGATAGGGTAGATACAACTAGTAGAAAGTACTCTATCTGCTCTTACAAAATGAAACAGTGGGTACAATAGAACGTAATCGAAGTTTAACGGTGAGTGAATCTCAGATACTACAAACTAAATACGCCCTCATACGCATAGTGCCTCTTTAGATGGTGCGCCTTTGTTAATAAATCCATTTAATTATTTACGAAGGCAACTATAGGTAACGTAGGTCCAGTGTCAGGTGTCCCCAGCACCATCGTTCGGCCGTTACTGCAATTATGATGATGTTCATTGGGTGACTGGCTAACGGTATGGAGTCAATACGGCCACTAAGTTAGTTCCGTTTTACAGCGTTGCATGTAACCATATTCACGATAACGTAACAATGTAGCGGTCCATGTTGTTGCGTGGTCGTGAAAACTTCTAAATGTCGTTCTGTATATAACTAGCAGCCCTTCCCTGCGTGGTAGCGCTAGATTCGCACAGCTCTTCGAGACGTTCTGATGTCATTTGACTTTTCCACTGAGGGCGACAGCGGGCGTTTTTCTAGAAACATAAATGGGTTGTAAACCACATGCGGCAAAGCAAACCTAGCTATTGTTTCTCGTAGTTTGATTCAAGTATATGTTGGGCCCTTCGGCTAAGCAACAAACAAAATGCTCGACGTTTGCACATGTAGCACTGCTGAAAGCATTCTGCTTAACTCAATTATGTACGTGTCCGCATGTGGGAAGGTGAAAGCATCCGGGCGTAATTTACACGAATGTCCATTCTTGCCTGTAACTCATGCGGTGCATGTAGAAACACACATTTTGTTGTTACAATAATCGCATGTATACATATTACTGTTATGTTAGCTGCTATGTGTGTGACCAGAGAGCATCGTGCATTACACATACATAGTTTGATGCGATACGACATTATTTATCTAGAGAATGGGACCGATTTTCCTATGCAAGTCAGATGGGTCAGGTGTTTGTATGATAGTACAAAGTCAAATTCATATCGCGCATACCAGTTGCAATACAGATCTTATGGCCCACTGTCAGAATCTGTTAATTCCATCTATCAATGACCAATAAACTTGAGCTGAAGACAAAAAGACTATGCAAGCACATTGAAACTTATTCAGTCGTACAGCTATGGATCAATGATGAGTACAAGTACAAACTTTATTCGAATTTATAAACTAACTAGGTAACTGCCATTGCGTGGGAAGCCAGCTCAGAGGCTTGCAAGTGTCAACGAATTTCTACAGCCGACTTCTGTGCTACCAACTATTAAGGGTAAGAAAAACGGAAAAAAAGTCTGCGTCTCGTCGCTACTAGTACGGCCATTAAATCTAAGTTCTCTGTAGGGAAATTTGTTTTATCCACTGAATTGAAGCTCGCTTTGTTGGCCGCAACGGGGCCCAAGCAATTTCCAACAGAAACATGATTTTTTTTCAGTGTCTCAAATTATGTTCTTTTCGTCTGGAACGATACGTTCGTTTTTCAGTTCTTCGATGTACGATCGTCTGAGCAAATGGCTCTATAGTCGACGCCTGGATTCTCTAAGCCAGCCTAATGAGGCTATCTAAACGCGGATGCGCCCGTCGACGTATTAGATAGAAACTAAACGTCAAGGCTACCAGAAACAAATGTGAGCATAAACAACTTATGAACGGTCTCAACTTAGCATGAGAAATTACTAAGTTTTGTTATTGTACTGCAGGCGCGAGAAAAAGCCTATATGTTCGCGAATTCTGTCAGTCAGTCAGTCAGTCAGTCAGTCAAATCTCCTATCGCGCTCTGCCAGTAACAGACGATATAAAATTAATTAATGTTTGTATTACAGCCTGTGTTAGATAAAATGTTTAACAACAAATGATATGTTATTTATACAAGTGCTCCACAGGGAATAGTTACATCGAGTTAGTCGGCCGTTGTTCTATTTAGAATCGTTCTATTAACTTACAATATGACATGCAGAGATTTAATAAAATATTTCGTTATTTGTTTTTTTGATAGTACGAACAATTCATTGTTTCAGACACTAAGGATGTTCTTGAGAACCCACAGATTTATTGACGGACTGGGGTGCAACAAAGACGAGAATAGTAAGGCGTTTATGGTCCTGTCTAAGTAATATTTACGTGTTATGCTCTTAATGTTTACACTATTAGCTCTTACTGTGGGCTATGTGTGTGTAAAATGGCTAAGGAAAAGCTTGGCCCAAACGTTTCTATGACAGAATTTACTTACATGGAAACAACTTCTATGAAGAACTAACAACGGCACACGTTTGCGAACGCACGATCTTGAATAAGTGACGTGTACTCGGAACACGCAGGATCTGTTGGTTTCAGTAAGTGCACGACTCCACAAGGATGCAGGAGGCCAGCATAAATAACGTTACTGGTGAAATCTTTTTTTTTTTCATTAAATTTTCACGACGGAAAAATAATTTGAAACGAATGTTGGCCGTTCTACACATTACAGATCATTCCTACAATACGTTCTGAGAAAATCGTCTCCAAATGGAAAGCGTTCGAAAATCGTGCATCAAGGAGATTCGTTTATATAATAAGCACATACACCATAACCCTGGTTATATGTGAGCGTGCTTGGGATAATCGGAGGAGTGCGAAGCTATCTGAATCTTGGCGAAGACGCACCTTTCTTCCTCCGTAAAAATCCGGGGAATCAGGGATGCAAGTTATATAGTCGTAATTCCTTCCCCTGTTTGACCCCTCTAGATTGCCTCTATTGAGCACCCTACCATAATAGGGCTTTAAGAAAGGCCAGACAAACGGTGTCGAAACCTTGTGCAGGAACAACAGCTGAGCTGTGGATTTGTTTTGTCATTAAGTATTAAGCAATCATGCTTATAAGCATAGGGTAGCGATAACGCAAGTGTGTCAGCAAGAGAGCATCATTTACTAATTAAATATCAGCGGAAGTATATTGCATCTTGGTAGAGACACCCTCATATATCCGCCCGATAAAGGATTATCGTAAACCGATGTGCTGGACGAGTTCATCATCTATAATCCGTTTAGCTACACCCTGATTAGAACGGTACATCATTGGAACTCTGCTATTTAGCCACACGCGTATTTGAGCTTTGGTTAGTTGTGATTAGCCCCGAAGCGTCTATCAATCATGTGTTTCGGTTTTGTCGAAGGAGTGTAATATGGCGTTCTTCGTATCTGTGAAATCGACAACGGTCTCACCTGAGAGAAGCTTCCTCACAAACAGTGTTCGAAATCGGCTCGATCGGTGTCCCATACATGAACGCCTAGACGCGTAATCTAGTGCTGTTGCTTACTTTTTCTAATTGCAAGTCAGGCACAGAAGCAGTCCCTCGTCAGATCAACCGCATTTATTGAACAAATCAAACAGTTTGAAGACACTCGTTAGTAGCAACAAGTCTAGTCAGTAGACTTTATTTATGTATACATGAAACATTGTCACATTTTCATGTACGCGATTCAACTTCAGGCTAAATTTGAGTCATGAAGGGTCGAGTGATTACCGAGGTCGGTCTCCTGACAACTGCCAGTTTTATTCAGGGTGCTGGATTTTCACTTATTGCACCGTTCTACCCTAACGAAGCATTTGAAAGGGTACGTAGAATACAATTGCGACCTGTATCGAATGCCCTTTTTCCTCTATTTAAATATGTTTGCACAGGAATATCTTAAACGTATCTTATACACAGCCAACTAAATATGTGCGAAGGGTAAGTTGAGCCTTTTTGAATATATAAATGACTTAAAGTTAAGTTCATTCGCTTATAGGAGAATACACCGACGCATGTTGGCATCGTGATGGGTGTCTATCAGCTAGTGATGTTCGTGTCATCTCCGCTATTTGGCTGGGCTCTTTCTCACCAGCGAATTCAACCTCGCTCACTTCTATGGATTGGGCTGTTGATGGATGGATTTTTTAGTGCTGCATTTGGCTTTGTTGTGTTTCTTCGTCAATCGTTTATCTTTTTCGGAACTTCACTTGTCTTACGTACCATGCAATCGCTTGGTGAGTCGCTGACTGAAGAGCTAGTTGTTGCAAGATGAGGTCCAGTGTACAACATCATGCAAGTAATAATAAATGAGGACGTTTTAGGTAATTCGGCATCAATGACGTGCTACTTCACCCTTCTCGGTGCTGACTTTCCTTCCCTACTTGGTCAACTCATTCCTGTGATAGAAGCTGCATTTAGCGCCGGCCTGATCGCTGGCCCATTCTTTGGAGGACTTTTATTCCATTATCTCGGATTCTGCGCGACGTTCCTGATTTTTGGCGGAAGTCTCGCGCTGCTAGGTCGGCTACTAATCAGAAGATTTCTCTTGAATTACTTCTATACTAGAAATGCAGATTTTTTTTTTGTAAAAAAAAAACTCTTCAAAACACGCTCTCAGCTCTACCAGCATTTTACAATTGTTAAAGTAAGGATTATTTAGTTCGCCAAAATATGATTGTTCTAGCTTAAAATCGTTGTTATCGGCCTACGAATCTATCACCGGTCAGGCTTTGTGAATACCAGCACCTGCTTGGGGAAGTTATCTGTTATAAGTTTTTCTGAGAATAATAAAACGCGTGTATACTTGTACATTCAACGAGGGTTTGTTTGGTGTTGACTTCTAGGGATCATGTGTCGATATTTGTTTCCTACTTCATCTAATTCTGGGAGCTGGAAAAACCTCAGTCTTTGGATAATCCTCCAGAAGCCTCGAGTGACCGGAAACTCTTTGCTTTTTTTCATTGGACTTATGATGATTGGCTTTAATGATGCCACACTGTCTGTACATCTACAACAGGTGATCGGCAACAAACATTTTCTGTTTCTGCAATATTTGAACATCAATTAAGAATTAAAATTCGAACAATTTCGAGACACTTTTTTTTTTAGCAAATTCATACCAACATCAATGTAATTCTGGAAAAGTGAGATGGGAGCTTTTTCTTCTGGGAAATAAGTTAATTGAAATTTAAAGACAAAATGTAAGTCTATTTATCTTTTATATCACACATTATTACTATCTAAGCGAATGGAACCTTCTTATCCAGTTTCGCTCAAACCAAGCTATCTATAACGATACGTATTAGCAATGTGTGTAGGCAGACGCTTAGCTATGCCTAACATGGCCTAAATTTGAGATTATCGCATAGGCAGATCATCATGGTAGTACCACTCAGTAACATTCGACCTAGGTGGAACAAAGACGGATAAATTATGTCAGCTCGTATGACTGAACACGAAAGTCATGCACGATGCTTCGCCTTTCACTACCATTCGGCGTTAACACTAACGTTTCGTTCTTGTTCGTTTCGTAGTTTAATCTGTCACCAGCGTGGATGGGAATAATGTTCATCCCATGCGCATTAACCCAGAGTATATTTTCACCGCTCTGGGGCCTACTGGCTTCATCCCTGGAAAGGCCTCGTTTGGTCTGCGTTGCAGGGACGTTCTTCTGCGCGGTCGCATTTTCGGTTTCTGGTCTTTCATCGTTTTATTACGAGACTATGTTTAGCTCATCGATAGTGCCTACAATTATCGCGCAGTTTTTTTTAGGTTAGAAATGCAATCAGAACTCAGCCAACGCGTTTGCATATAATCGAAAAGAAAGTTTAAGTTTTTTTTTGTTCGACGAACAAAGAAAAAAAACTCAAGTATTCATATTTAATCCATTCTGTACATTTAGGTAAACAATATTAGAGAAATATACCTATACAGTTGGCAAAACGTCTGTTGGAGAACAGCTAGCATTGCCCTGGAGTGCATTACTGCGTAGCAAAAAGCAGAGTTATACATCTAATTTTTACAATCCAGCCACATTAATGTTAGGCTATGGTTACATAGCATCGGTATTCCTCTCTGCTTGATTAGTTCCTTGTGAAATGGCCAAGTGAAAGCTCTAAATATTATTTTTCGGGACGGGCGTATTGCAATTATTCCGTAACTTTTGTTTTCCTACGAGAAATACCGAGCTGCTTATCGAAAATCAACTATGATGTCTATTCTATAGAAAAAGGCAGGTTCCATGTGAAATTAAAAATTGTACATACATATATATATATATATATATATATATATATATATATATAACATATTGTGCATATTTATTTGTATGTAGCATAGTGTACAAAAGCGTGAGTTTTCAATTGATTTTTGTTTTTCTGCAGGCGTGGGCGTTGGCGCTATATACATACCGGCCTTTCTAGATGCTCTTCGCTATTGCCTCACAAAATTGCATTATCCGGACGACGTCGGAACTTACGGCTTGCTCTCGGGTCTCCTAACATGTGCTCTTTGTTTAGGTTCGTCGATAGGTTCGGCGGCCGGTACGTATGCGATTCACAATTTAGAATGCAAACGTATTAAGAGTATCACCAGGCCTTGTTGATGTCGTGTGGTTTCGATGAAACAAAGGGGTTATCGTGAGACATTTCGCTAGCTCGCTAAAAGTTCAGCCGATGGTATAAAAATCCGGCATAACCTGTGTGAGTAAAGAAAATATTTTGCTTAATTACTTCTTTTTTTACTCAGTAGCGGGCGCTAAGCATTAGTTCAAAGAAGCGTAAAGCTAACAATCGCTTTGAATCTATGTTCACATTAAGTGTCTGTTTTTGTATATTGAAAGGAGTGTCCACGACTTATTCGTAGGGAAACGAATATATTTTTATCAGAGGTTTACGTTTAGTATTACAGGTACTGTATTTTGTCTTATAGGGAAAAAAACGCTTTACATTTGGTTGTACGTGTCGGGTAGAGTTCATTAAAAATTTGAATAAAACTGAGAAATTAGATGGGCAAAACACTGGGACATCGAAAAGGTACTGACCGTTTTTTAGTTAGACTGCTTCAAAGTCACGTATGCTAGATAATATGAGTCGGGTCGGTGTTGGCGTTGTTTGATGGCTGAGATTCGCAAGTAGTATACTTGCTAATATCGTTGAAATACCTTTGCTCAGACTCAAGGCAGAGCAGACAAGTAAGAATACTCTGCAAAAATTGCATTTTAGAACTGTATAAGGAACAGAGCACAAATACTGTCCAGGCTTAAAAAAAATATGGTGTTTTTAGTAAAGACACGTTACCGATATAGACGGTTCAAAGATGGTCTTTTCGCTGTCATTGAGAAAATTTCAATGTTAGGGATAGTTTTCGTAGTGAGTGAGCGAGCAACTACGAGAAAAGTTGATGAAATTATCGTGGAAGCTGAGCAAGACCGATACGCGAACGAATAGCCATGACGTCGTTAAGGAACTAAACACCTACTATTGAATGGTTTGAAAGGCGTCTGCTACAAAAAGAAACTCGATGTTTGGGTGCCAGACGAATTGACGCAAAATAATTTACTCGATCGTAGTTCCGTCCGCGAAGCTCACAGAAACACAGTGGAACCATTTTGAAAACAGTTGATCACAGGTGATAGACCTCATACAATAATAATGTTCAAATTGAAGAGAAAACGTGAAAATATTCTTCACAATACCAAATTGACGCCGCATTAAATATTTTAATTTAAATTTATTCTAAAAGTAGGAATCGTGTTTTATTAGTAATTGCTGCCTCACAAAACGATTGATTTGGCCTTCCGCTACCAATAACTAACAAAATTATAATAAGTTAATCAATTGACCGGAAATGGTACACAGAAAAGCTGTCCTCTTCCACTGCTAGACCATATATATCTTTAGCTAGGCGGCGACAATTGACACGACTTGAATAGGCAATTTTCTTCCACCATTGGACCATCATCTGTTTCAGTCTTTGCAAAAAAATCTCAATGGTGTCTATTGAGTTTCAGTGAAAAAATATCAAAATCACCTCTCACATCGTTTCGCCTAAAAGCTACTCAGTTCTGCAGTAATTAGATTATGATGGCAGGATGACTTAGCTTAGTAATAGCTAGAGATTTGTTTCAATAATTGATCTGGCAAATACTTGCAGCACGTATGCTCTAACCCAGACAAACAAACAGGAATTGTTTTTAGAGCTGCCAACAAGTTTGTTTATAAATATACAGGAAGTATATATATATATATATATATATATATATATATATATATATATTAATAAGCACGGTACGTCGCCTAAATTAAGAGAAACGTGTGTGACCTATTTTTGCTGCTAAAAAAAAATCCTTTCTTCTTGAACCAAACAACAAACTTTTCACGGTGAAAGAATGCATCGCTTCCTTAATTTAAGCAAAAATGAGCTATCATTTAATTTCTCTGCGCTGGATGAACCCCCCTCAAGATCAGAAATTTCCTTTTTGACCGAAATTTTCAGTCTTCAGGCAGCTGCCAAAAAATTCACGGAAGGTCCTCAATAGGATTTAGATTTAAAGAGCATAAAAGCGGATCAAAACGGCTTAAAGGCCATTTTATATGCCTCGATTCTTAATGCGAAAACTAACGGCATTTTTCGAGAGGAGAATATCAGTTATCAACAGGGTCTTTTAGATAAGTTCCGACAGCTAGCCTTTTTGAGACTTTTCTGTTTTTAGGATCTTTTGGCCCTTGTACATTTGAGATGTTTGGCCTGCTATCGGCCCAAAATTAAATTTCGCTAGAATTTTTTGTGCGTGGCGTGCATACGCGACATTTGAGCGACTTGCCTTTACGGTTATTACTAGAATTAAGAGAGATGCAGGTTAAGACAGGTGTATTTCGAAAATTACTAACGAATAGAATTGAGCTTGTCATCACGGTAAGTGGTAGTTATAATTAAGTGTGACCATGGATGACGCTTCTAGTACACGTAAAAAATGTTTTGAAATATCTGTTTGCAGTCTTAGAAGCAAAACCTAAAGAAGCGTTCGAATTTAGGTGTTATATA